TGGCTCTAAATGTAACATAACATCAAGGACAACCAGGGCTTCAACCAAACACTCACCATCATTCCTGTGTGTGATACCCTAATACACTTGGAATGTCAAAGTAGTTCTAATATGACAGTAATGCAGTTTCTGTGACCTTTTCTCTTTTAATGAGGAAATTATGCATGTGAAAAGGACTTATAGTCCATTCAGGAAGGACTCTGTCACATAGCCTTGGAAATTCTAAACAAAATTAATATTTGCAGTTTTAGAAGGAGAAAAGATTATTTCCTTGGGATAAATTGCTGCAATACTTTTTCTATTCAAGCCCTTATTAAATATTATCTTTCCAGATCTTGACTGTAGCATACAGCTGAACTGAAGACATTTTCTGCCTGAAGCCAAAACAAACAGAAAATCATGAAGAGAAATAGGTGTGAGCCTTCAGACAAAAGGTGTACCGGTTACTGGTTTCAGAGGAGAAGAAAATTTAAAGACAAGGGAAAATGCAGGAACATTGGCTGGTACAGGTTAAAATAAAAGAATAGATAAGGTTATTTTTGTGACCTGAGTGTTAAGGTGACCTTGAAGGCTTCTTGAGCTGATGCTGTGTTTGATTTTTCTCACATAGTGAAGAATTAACCTTTTTCTCATAGGAATACAATGAGGATATTTATAGGATCTACTCTGCAGCTCTTGGGAATGAAACAAAATATTCACTTAGTTAAAAATGAGATTTTCAATTATTTAATTTGCAATTATATTATTGAGAGGTTTCTTTCCTCACACAATGCTTGTCGATCCAGTAGGATGTGGGCAGTAGGAAAGCCTTTTACTTATGTCCTCCTTCATTTTTCCTATGTTTTGGCTTCTATGAGGGGCCATGTACTATTGCAATCTTACTTTAAACCAGGCCATATTTTTCTCCCCCATTAAATGGAGCAATTGAATTGATGGGCTTTAGGAATTCTGCAGCATGCTGCTTGTCACCAAGCAGTGTGGTTGCACTGGCTGGGGACAGCAGTAGGAATTTCCTATTTCCTTGCCTCTTTGCTACCTCCCCCCTCATGTCCCTCTGCTCTTTTGGATTTGGGTATATAGAGATAAATTGGTAGTGAATTCCTTTGGGTCCCATACAGCTCAGAGAGGTGAGATTGGAACCTGAAGCAGGCTATAGCATCACATTTTTAGTCTGGGTCATGGCTAGGTGACTCTAGCCATGCAGTGAAGGATGACACTCCTGAGCAGTGGGGTTACATGCTCGTTCTCCCCTCAGGCTGGAATTACAGCCATATTCAGTCCATGGCATAATCTAACCCTGGCTGCAGCAGCACAGAGCCAGCACTCGCCTTGCTTGAATTTCTCATCCTTCACAAGCAGAATGTCTCTGGTCAGAACAAGAGCTACACAAGATTAGCTTCTGTTTTAGGATTAGGGAAAGAAGTAAGAGAAAAATGGAGCCTATTCAAACTTCTGATTTCTGTCAAATGGCATAAAATCAAAAGGATTTTGTTCTGGCCATAGCCTCCTAGAAAATAATGGATTACTATTTCCTTAGTCTAATTGACTAGGACACAAATTGTCATTTAAAATTGTGTCTAAATCCCCTGAATGCCTGACAGAACATAACAATATTCTCTGCTCTGAAGCATTCAGAAGTTAGGCTGCTCCTTAGATTTTTTTAGTTTCTCTAGCCAGTACAAATGGATGCAGTGGATTTTTACTGTTTTTCACCAGATGAGGTCCTGGTCCTGGGTTGAAATGGAGAAGAGTTAAGGGAGAATTAGTGTAATAGACAAGAACTGGAGGGGGATGTCTAATTAACTGTTCTGTAAGCACATATCCTGAATTTTCTGCTTTCTAATATCTGAACTAAGCAAAACAGCTATAGATTGTTTTACAGACTGGTTAGCACTTGTCTGGTATAGAAAAAGTTAACAAATTGAATGCAGTAATGAAGAAACACCCCAAATATTTTTGGGCAGCTGAAATACTAGTAGAAGTTTGCTGTAGTTCTCTGCAGGTAAACCCTTACATCTAACCTATTTGGATCTAATATTTCCTTTGAGGTGCTCATACACATTTGTTTACTTTTAAAGATGTGTAAATCCTACTGAAAATAGCCATAGTGGGTGAGTAAACATTGTAGCACTGGTGGAAAATAAATTTAAGTAAAATAAGATGCTTTGTGCTACAAGAATAATGCACATTTCTAATCTTAACTTCATTCACAGGTACATAGCTGAGACCCTCTAGTGGCATAAACATTTATTTGCCTTCAGTGTGTGATTAAAATTCTATTTCACAGTCACATTATAGCAACGAAATTACAGGTAGTATTTTTGGACACTCTGGGGGCTCTGGAAAAGCTAATCTAGGATTAGATACTGTGCAGGTTCATGTTAATGAAAGTAAATTGATTCTTAGATGTGAGGGGCAATTATAGATGCACTGGAAGGAGAGTGGAATTTTTGAAAGGATATTCTAGAACTAATTACTATCAGTAAAAAACACACAAAGAGCAACGTAATACCCAGGGCAGCCAATGGGGATAAAAGCTTATACATAAATCTGTCATGACCTAGTAGTGAAGACTGTTTAAAAACAGTGATCTCCACTTAGCTTGTAAATGCACATCGCCCTCTTTCTCACTCATATATTCTCTCTGCCTCTCTCTCTCTGACACACACACACACACACACACACGCTCCTGGATTTGCAGAAGACAGACATCTAGGGCACTTCTTGGCATCCACAGGAAAATCATATGGGATTAAAACCCCCCAGCAGTAAGTACTCACTGCATTAAATGTTTTTTAAGTGGCATGCTGTCAAAAGCTAGATTTAATAGCAAATACAGGAGGACTTTAATGGAAATTGGCTGTATTTGATTTTTCTCAGGATTTGCTGAAAGCTGCCTCTCGAGGGTTACAAGTTCACCTTTTGCATTTACAGCTGCTTGTTTACTATCCCTGTGGTAACCTCTGGACAGCCAGAAATCCATTCATTATCCGCACTGATTGAGTGCGGGAGCGGCGCGGTGCTAACTACTTCACTCAGCTGACGGCAGACAACAAAAGGAGCAAAATGATGAATTCGGACAATTTAACCTCCCAAAGCTTCCTCTCTGCGATTCACAGCAACACCACCAATTTATTCTCAGGGCTCCAGTTTGTTCAGTCCTTCAAGCCACTCATCATCCCCTGCTACTCGCTGGTGGTTTTTATTGGTGTCATTGGGAATTACCTTCTCATCTATGTCATCTGCAAGACAAAAAAAATGCACAACGTCACCAACTTTCTGGTAGGCAATCTGGCTTTCTCGGACATGCTTATGTGTGCAACCTGCGTGCCCCTGACCCTGGCCTATGCCTTTGAGCCCCGGGGATGGGTTTATGGGCGCTTCATGTGCTACTTTGTTTTCCTGATGCAACCCGTCACGGTGTTTGTGTCTGTCTTCACCCTGACTGTCATAGCCGTGGACAGGTACTGTGCCACGGTGTACCCGTTCCGCAGGAGGCTCACCATCCCCATCTGTGCTTACATCCTGGCTGCTATTTGGCTGCTGAGCTGCACTTTGGCTGCCCCAGCCTTGGTGCACACCTACCACGCAGAGTTCCCGGAGCTGGACTTCTCCATCTGCGAGGAGTTTTGGTTCCACATGAAAAGAGATCGCTTGGCTTATGCCTACAGCACCCTCATCATCACCTATGTGTTGCCTTTGGCTGTCATCTCCCTGTCCTACCTGAGGATCTCAGTCAAGCTGAAGAACCGTGTGGTCCCAGGCAATGTCACCCAGGGCCAGGCTGAGTGGGACCGTGCCAGGAGGAGAAAGACTTTTCGCTTGCTGGTTTTAGTGGTGGCAGCCTTTGGAGTCTGTTGGCTGCCCCTGCACATCTTCAACATGATAAAGGACATCGACATCAGCTTGATTGACAAGCAGTACTTCAACTTCATCCAGCTGCTGTGCCACTGGTTTGCAATGATGTCTGCTTGTACCAATGCCTTCCTCTATGCCTGGCTCCATGACAGCTTCAGGGGAGAGCTGAAAAAAATGTTTGCCTGGAGGAAGAAGAAAATTGGACCCGCTACAAACTGCATTATGGCCAGTGTGGTGCTGTAAAAGAGAGCTGGTGGGAGTGCCCCTCCTTTGTACATGAACATTGTAAGTCTTTTCCGCTTTTAATTAGTCCTTATTCCTGACATTTGCCTTTAGGGCTCAATTATAACAACAGAGGTCCCGTGTGCATCTTCCCCAGCACTTCCACTTCTAATGGAGAATGACAGGCAGATGTCATGCCTCAAAAATATCTTTATTGCTTTGATTGGAGTTAGAAGCCAAGGAGATGTAAGCACAATAGGATACAGGGATCCTTTCTATCTGTGTTGGATATTACTGTCAGTACAGACATGGCTTTTGGGGACAGAGAGAAGCAAGGATGAATAGGAAACTTAAATATCTCAAAGAGGCAGTGTTTTGGATTGGGTAAAAATGAAACCTGTGTGTCTATCCAGAGTCCATTCCTTAGCACAGCCTCTAGGGTAGAGGACTACATCATTCCTTTAGTCCTTTTTGGGTCAGGGCCATTTCTTCATGCAGCCCCAGTTCCCTGACCCTACTGCAAGTCGGCTGCTTTGTGCTCACAGCCTCGACAGCACCGAGATGAATTCCAGCAGGCACTCTCCTTTGGAGGAGTCTTTTGGGGAGAAACAATTTCCTTTGAAACTCACCTTTCAAAGGGACTTTAAAGCTATAATCGACCTAATGGTTTCTAGTTTCTTCCTCCCTGAAAATATCTGGAATAACAGTTAAGTGCACAGGACAAAGTTGTGAGAGGTTTCTTCCAACCTGCTCAGCTGTAATCTGGGATAGCATGAGAAACTTTTTGACACTGAACTGCCATCAGCCAAAAAAGCATCACAGTCCAGGGCAGCTCTGGCCATGGTCAGCAAGGACATCTCTCTGACCATACCTGCACGTGGCCAGAGACTTCTCTGTTGGGGGCAATGCAAAAGGATGTGAGGGGAGTGGGAAGAAAGAGGTGGTTGCTTTAGATTGCAAATCCTACTGTGAATCTGTGGAAATAATTTTTCTTATCGTGCTTCAGTAAAATTAATCTGATAAAAACGTCCCCCAGATCCATATGCCCACCCTGGGAAAAGTCTTGGAAAACATTTGAAATTCCATTTCACAAACTTGCTGCAATTTCAAGTTATTCTATTGCTGGTAATGAGGGCATTAAAAGCTGATTACAGAGTCACTGAATGAAGAAGGTCCATTTAAATTGGGCATTACTTGCATTCACTCTGTGATTATGTGTGCCTGCCTTTCTTACCTCAGTTTAAAGGTTTGAGTGACCTTCTAAAGAATGTTTTGCTTTTGCTGAATTTCAGGAAATGTTTTTTTCCTTGAAGCTAAATATTGTAAGTTACTGGAATAACTGGTCACTTTGAAAAGGCACAAAGCCCACTTCCAAACAGACCAACCTAATTTTAAAAGCTTTTCAATCTCATTTTCAGGAATCTTTAAAAAGTACAGAGAGCAAGACACCAAGAGAGCACTGAAACAACAACACAAAAAGCAGTTTCCAATAACAAAAAATCCTGAGTTTTAGAGATTTTTTCTTCTGTGGAATTAAGTAAATTCAAACTCCTAATTTTTCAGTTTGTATAGGTTAATTAAGATTGAGATGGTTCATAATGTCTACAACCTCCTGCACTAAATACAGAAAGTGCTATCACCCAGAGGGATCCAAAGCCCAGTGGAGTCTTTCCAGACTTTCTAAACCACAGCAGTCCTGGGATCTTTTCCTCCTTACACACCATATTTTCCCCTCATTTACCATCACTGCAGTTTGACTTATTCATGCTCTCTTGAACGATAATGACTGGAGATGGTGACTGCCAAGAGCTGCATGAAGCAAACAAGGATTTCTCTCTCAGTTTGCTTTTCCTTGAGACAGAAATGAAGGGCTGTTCAGTGCACAGATTGTTCCCACAGTGACAAATGCATTGGGAATATCTCACTCCAGGCTGCCTCTGGAGCTGCTCTTAGAGCAGTGCCAAGGTCTGGCAGCTCCTGGAGATGCCCAGCACAGCTGGCACCCTCATCTGAGTGCTGGTTTAACCTGTACGTGTCTTGATTCTGTCAGGATGTGAATTTGCAGCAGAATGCTCAGAGCCTGCCCTTGTTTCAGGCCCTCCTCACAAGCAGGTTTTCAGGTGAACCCTGAAATTATCTGCATTCCCCAACTGTGAGCTCCTGAAGCTCCTTCTCTCTCCTCCACAGCCCCCTTGGTCCACCTCAGTGGTCCTGTAATGCCATTTTATCAGGCTTTCCCTGCACAAAGGAGGTCCAGTCCTGATCTTGAGGTCTGGGGGTTCCACAAAGCACAGCCACATTCATTGAGCCTCAATTCTGTTAACTGAGCCCCAAGAATCTCTGCCCTCTTTAATTATTGTTTTGTCCGATATCCAGAGTAATAAAAAATAATAATATTTTAAGGCACGTTGATGCACTTCTGTAATCCAGTAATGCAAATAAACATATTGAAAGCTGTCATGTGAAACGTGTTTGCTAATCTCCACCCCTCTCCAGGGGACTGCTGCAGTTCTTGGAAGGACCAGGGCTCATCACTGAGGCTTTTTTGGTGGTATACTTTTTAATTGCAGTTTAAGAAATCATGGCATGCTTTTATTTTGTTGAGTAGCTTGGTTCAAAACTTGATAAACCTATAAACTACACTAGTGCTTGATCAAACATAAACTACTCCCTGTGGTCAAGAGTGTGGCTGGAATTAAAAGGCAATGTACTCATGAAACACATAGAAAAGTAAGCCAGGAATTAGATTAGAAAGTGACCAAAGCTCACTAAAGCTGAGATCAGGCAGCCAAAGGAAAAAAATAAAACCTCAGTTAGGGTCAGGTAGATTTGGTCTTTCCCCCACCTCAGGGATATCCACTCAGTCACCAAAAACTAAATTGTCTGTGCAATGCATTGCTTTAAATAAATTTTCCTTGTTCTTGGCTGAAGAAAACTCAGAGTTCTATTTGTACCACGTTTGGGGAGTGTCAGTTTATTTGGGGGGCAAAAGCAGCTCCTGCCATAAGGGCATCACTTACAGGAGCAGGGTGAGCCTTTCACAGCTGATAGATGGACTGGGGAAAGCTGGTGTTCTTCATACCTGCTGAACAACAGGTGCTCTGTACAGTTTTAATTGAGAAAATTTTGCTTGTTTTCTTGTCAATAATTAGCTGTCTAAGGTGATGGAAGCTGAAAATGGTACACCTGCATCTGGGGATAAAAACAATGTGAAAAAGGAACTGTACAATGCATCAATCTCCCCACCAGATGAAAAGAAGACAAAAACAACCTGCTGGTGGTAAAGCCACTGCCATCATTTCTGCATGAAGCAATGTAGTACAAACTTTTACCTCCAGTCCTTCCTTCTCACTGCTCACTGTCTTTTTATTTTCTCAGGAAAAACTAATCACATTCCTCCTCCTTACCTTGGAGAAAAGCTTGCTCAAGGGTCAAAGCAAACATTTCTCCCTCATGGAAGGCATACAGAGAGGGAGAGCTTTCTAAAGGGAAAAGGGCTTTCTGAAATGAAGAATATCCTCTTTTCTCATCTTTCTGCAAGACATACATGGAACCATTTGCTGTGTGGATCTGCAGCTGGCCTGGCCTGACACTTGAAACTCTGGCTTTTGTGTTTACCTCAAGTAAATACTCTCCCCATTCTCAGTGACCTCATTTTGGGTCACAACCATCACTAACTCTGATCCTTTGCACCTGATTTCCCTCCACAGCAACAAGATGATTCCCTGAAAGTCCCAGAGAGGAGCTGCAGATGCATCTGAGGTATCCATCCTATACTATTGGGATTTTTTCCTTCGGAAATCACTTCCACAATCCCCATCTCAAGAGCAGGTTTGAAGTTTATTCTTACTGTGTAGTGACATAACCAGATGGGACCGGCTTCCCCAGGCTGATCTCAATAAAATTTTATATTATTTTTCTCTCTGCTCCCTGCTCTCCTAACTATCCCCCAGACTTTTGAAGCCATTGATCAGCTACTCAGTCAAAGCAGGAGCCTCAAGGTTGTTCCCACCTGAAATTAGGAATATTGGCATTTCCTTATTGCTCCCTGGGGAAAAAAAGTCATCTAAGTGCTCTCTCTTTTAGGAAGCCCCACAGGATTACACAGGGATCAGATATTAGGAAAAATTTCTTCACCAGATGGCTGGTCAGGCATTGGAACAGGCTGCCAGGGCAGTGGCAGACTCACCATCCTTGGAGGGATTTAAAAGATGTGTAGATGAGGCACCTGGGGACATGGTTTAGTGGTGGGCTTGGCAGTGCTGAGTTGACATCTGGACTTGATGATCTTCGAGGTGTTTTCCCACCTAAATGATACAGGACTAACTACTTGATACTCAGGCTGCCTCCCTGCAGGGCAAAAAGTGAGAGGTAAAGGGCATGAGCTCAAATGTATCTCATTGGGAGTTATGTCCCTTTAGGATCTATACATTTACTCTCTTCACCAAGAAGCAAATGGGATTGACTTTCCCTTTCTACAGCTTTCTTTGTCAAATTAAGTCACTGAAGCTAGTGATCTATGTAAATAATAAAGCACACAATCAAGAGCTCCCCAGTTCATGTCTCCAGTCCATTGGAAATCAATTTGGGATCACTGTTTGAAGCTGACTGGGCTCTCCATCCTTTGCATTTTGTTTATGTTCACATTGTAATTTCCCTGTGGTTTTTGTTTGTTTTTTTTTGTTGGGTTTTTTGTTTGTTGGGTTTTTGTTGTTGTTTTGGTTTGGGTTTATTTACTTATATCTTTTAATTTCTGCAGGGAATATCCAGAAGATGATAACAGCAAAAATCTATACCTACATTTCCTACAATTCCTACATTTCCATGAGGCACTGGAGCAAGAGGACTGCAAGGAGAAGCTTGAAGCTTTCAGCGTGGAGATGAGCTCTGCCTCTCCTGCTTAGCACAGCTCTGGCTCTCCAGATAAGATGCTGGAAAGGCAGCTGGTGGCTCACAGCAGCAGAAGTGGCTTTATTGCAGTGCTTTGTGAGAAGCTGGTGCTGGTGTGGGCTGGGGATCACCCAGTGTAGCTCAGCTTCTCCCAGCAGCATCACCAGAAGGGTGGCTGCTCTGCTCTGGGGAGGCTGATGAACTCGAGGTGTTGTCTCTCTTTCTAGAGCTTCTCAGCCACAGGGAGACGTGTTTGTTTACTCCATCACACCCACAAGACAGCTGAAAAAAGGTGACATGGTACACTGTCCCAGGTTGCCACCATCCCCAGCTCAAGTTTGTGACCTGCCGTGCTTGGGGGTGGGAAGGAGAAGCAACAGCCTGTGCTGGGAACCAGCCCCATCTTGGGCTCCTGGAGGCAGGGCAAGAAAGAAAGCAAAAACCAGATTTCTGATCTTCAAGCTAACAATAACCAGCCAAAGGGTAAATCTGTAACCACCCAGAGGCTGTTCCTGTGCCAGTGTAGGAGGCACTCAAGCTTTCTGGGAGCGTGGTTCCTCACCTGTGGCGTGTCAGCTCGGTGTATTTGCTTTGTGGTATCTTTCTTCCCTCCCCTCACCCCCTCAGTGCAACAGGGGCAGGCCAGGCAAAAGCAGGAACATCAGGGTGAGGTCCACATCCCATTTCTGTATGGTCCAGAGGCAGAGGGGTTGAGGGCAGATGCACTTGTGAAAGGGTTTTTTAAATAAAAAGAATTGAAAGGTTAGTGATGGAGTTCCCAGGCAAGTGTTCAACCAACCCACTCCTCAGCCACTGGAGAAAACTCTGGAGGAAGTAAGATGACAAAAAATATCATGTGCAAGAGCTAGCTATCAGCTAAATAACAATATATAATACATACAAAGTATTTCAAATCCTTAACATGACGAAATTATCACTCAGCTTTGGAACGATTTCCCCTCGATTATTGGATCATTTTAAAATTCAACATCTGTTGTTAATATGCATAGATTAAAAAAAATAAAAATAATTTTGAAACCATCTGAAGCACTCAACAGCATATGGCAGACCTGTTTAATCTTAACAAGTCAATAATATTATCATTGTGAATCACTTCTTCATTAAAACATGTATTAATGTCTGTTGCATAAAATAATGTCTGTTTGTAAAAGCCTTTTGTACCACCCATGCAATTGTCACTTGTCTCAGCTAATTCTAGATTGCTTTGATACTACCTCCTCTTGGAAAACTGTCACCGACTGAGGACAGAGGAAATGCAAATCATCACCTGTCGAAGTTCTGACAACAACACAGACAAAGTGAAGGGAAGATTTTGAAGACCTGTGTTTTGCTGTAGTGACAAAAATATGGATTTCTTTGCTTTTAAGGCATTGTGGAAAGCACTGTTCCAAACAGTTCATACCCCCCCCAAACCTTGTGTACGGTGTCTGACAAAATTTGTATTATTTCACAGTTCTTAACATTCTTTGCTTATTGCTAAATGAAGGAACTATTCACATGAACAGCTTAATTTACAGTGTTGAAAATAGGGATAATTAGGCAAGCACTTTCTCTTCCAGCTCTCCTGTGAGTTATTTACAAACAGGGGTGGAAGGTGGGTTTGGAGAAGGCTGGGTTGACATAAGAATGGTTTTAAAATTTTTAAGAGTTGTGAATGAAAACTAAATGAAGAGTGTCAGTACAGCTTTCTAAATCTGAAGCTATTTACATTCAAATATTGAGACTCAATGAGGTGGATAAAAGGCAATGTGGAGCTACACTGAGTTTCACAATTCACTATTAAAAAACAGTTGCAAAAATGGAAAGCCCTACAGATTACTCTGAATTACTTTAGCAGAAGGAAAATAGAATACAAGGGAAGCTCCAACCAGTCTCCTGTTATACAATATTCCCAAGTTCCCTTTTGGGAATTAGAAAAACTTTGTTGTGTTTCCCCCTCTAGATCAGAAGCCCTCAGGATGCAGCAGCTCCTCCCTCCACACATTTTGTACAGTTTAGGAAGAAGAAGAATCCCAGATCTGAGCTATCTCCTCCTAACAGCTCGGGGAGATTGGAGTCCTTGTGGCACAAACCATGAAGGCGAGCACAAATACATGTAATTATCATCCTAACACAGAGCTAAAATTAAACTCTGAATTGGAGCTAGTGGGTTTATCAAGCACCACCTCTTCACAAGAAATTAATATCTGTTTCCCTTCAGCTTTAAAACATTTGATAAAGTGGCTGGGTCTTTATTCACCAAAGCATTCTTGTAAATTATTTCTTGTTTCCCTGGAACCTGTTTGTCAGCTGTTTTCTCACTAATTCTTTCCTCATTAGAGAAGCAAAACCTGTTTTCCCTACCCCCAGCAACCCTTACATCCCATTTCCCAGCAGAATTCAGCTTCTGATGAACACGGTGTCCTTCCCCCACCTTCAGTTGCCCCCAGCCCAGCAGACAGAGCCTTTAAACACACACAGGACCCCCCTGTCAAAAACTGACAGTGTTGCTGCAGGCTGGGGTGGATGGGAATGCTTTAGAGAGGGTTCAGCTCATTAAACAAGTTTCCCAAGGCTGTGTCATCAGGAGATGCAATTACCTGAAGCCAGGTAGAGCCCACATATGCAAGGCAGTGATTGAAGTAAGGATGTGATACTAATAAAGCAGCCTATTACAACAGAGTAAAAAAGTCTTCCCTAATCTCTTGGGTAAATAAATACAGAAAAGAATTAATGAAAGTTGATTAAAAAAAAAAAATTGTTGGTGCATGAGGAACTTGACATTCCACTTAATCTAGACCTCCCATTTCTCTCAGAGCCCTAAAATGCTGTCCACAGTTGTTACGTTCTTTCTAAAAAAGTTTCAGATTTCATTCCCATGGATTTATTATTATCCCCTTTTTTGTTCCAAGTGGGTCACTTGCTCCTGTTGCTATTACCTTATCTATTTCCTTTTGCCCTGGCCATCTGAAACAGGCACATGAGGACCACATCAGCTTCAGACCAGGTCGTGTGTCCCATTTGCAAACCTGGGATCTGCCTCAGCAAGGACACAAGTCTGTACTAATTACTGTTCTCCCTTTTGAATGAGAAGGTATAAAAGCTCATTTTGTGACTTTAGGTGCTGTTTAGTGTTTCCCCTCTGTCCAGGCCCAAGGTCCATTCATAACTGGGTTTGTTTTGAGAGGATTTGCAGTTGAAAAATCCTTTTGACTCATTGCCTTGTTTTGTTTCATTGCTCACAAAGGTTTTGTGCTTTCCAGGATTTTTATTTTGATAGTTGAAGGTAAGCTGACTGATAGACAAATCCTCAATTATCTGTTCCTTCCATTCTTAGAAACTGAATATATTTGCTCCTTTCTAGTCTTCTGATGCTTATTTACACCCCATGACTTCCCAAATATAACCCCAAGCGGTTCTGACATTAATTCATCTTTTTCTGCAGTGTTTTGGGATGAAATGCATCAGGCTCAGGCGGTGTGAAACTTTCCAGTTCTCTAATGCTTTCTTGTGCATTTTCATGGAGGCAGTTATCCCAGCATGAGGGCAGTTAAAAAGGGGACTAGAGGCTCATCAACAAATATGAACTTAAAACCTGATGTTGGCACTATTCTGTTTAGTTTGCTTCACTCTGAGAATCCTGTATGTTTTTTAGTCAGTTGCAGTGGATTTGGTATGCAGATGTTTTACTCATTTGAGTAATTAAAATTATTAAAACTGTCTTGAAATTCCATTCTTTGCAATTCCACACAGCTTTTCTCCTCCTGGCTTTCAAGGGAACAAGTTTCCTTACACATTTCCAGGCCATTAACCATGGAGCCACAGATTCTGGCACTTGGGGCATCACAGATAGGGGGTACCTCTTCAAACACCCCAAAGTGCAGCTGTGTGCTGGGCTGTGATGTGCAGCAGCCCCTGACTGTGCCCTTGGTGAGCCGTGAGCTCCCCGTGCTTGTGGAGCCATGGATGCTCTTCCACTGCCACCTCCTGGACACGACTTGAGAGGTACTTGAGAGACGCGGCAATAAAAGCAGTAAATGAACATGAAAAGATGCTGAAGCAAAGACAAAATATCTAATTTTGGCCATGTACTTGGACATTTTAAGTCTTTCACTCGACCCTTTGAGTCTGACCCCAAAGCACAGCAGTGGGGGCTGCTGCAGACACCCTCAGCACCAAGAGATGACTGAACTCTTCTGAAGATTTGCCTATAAATTGCAGATTTTAAACAGTGTTTAAAGATTCAGCTTGACAATTAAAAAAGAATACTCACACCAGGAGTGGGGGGAAGGCTGGGGGCTGCATAAACATGAACCACTCCCTTCACCACAGCAGAGTCTCGTGAGGTCTCTGAAGACATCCCCCTCTGACTTGGCCACCTGGCTCTAATGATGACTTACTTTTAATTAAAACTGCTTTCCAAAGAAGATGCTTGATTAATGGCCTGGGAGACCTTGAAAACAGAGTCATTCTTGCAAGAGGAAGGTAATTAACTTTTTTAATCAGTAGGGGCTGACCTCAAGGTCTAGTGAAGGGAGTCATCAGCAAATTCACTGCCACATAGCAGAGTCCTTCTGCCTCACTGGAGACCCCAGGGAAAGGCCTGGGAACTGGACAAAGGTACACACCAACCTGCAGAGCTGCCTCATCATCTCCTCTCATCACCCCACTGCCTGGCTGGGAGCAGTCTGGGCACTCCCCTTGTGCTTCTTCCTCCCTCACTCTTACATGAGCAAAGCTCTCCTCATCTCACCCTGTCTCAAAAAAGATAAAAACACCCAACTTCCAATCAGAGACAGCATCAGTCTCTGGAGATAAGCACCCAGACTCTCCTCACTGTCTTTCAGGGAAGACCCTGGCAAACCAGCTCAAATATCAGGACTAAAGGGTTTCCCTTGGCAGATGCCAACAGTCCTGCAGCACAAACCTCAACTTCTGCTTTCTTGTTCCTCACCTGGCACAGGTGGGGATGCCTGGCAGGGACACTTAATCAGGTTTGGTCTGAGCTTCCAGTGAACTCTTGCCTTTCACAACCTGCATCCTCAACCTGCTTTCTAATTCCATAAAGGAGAGGGATTTATGCTTTCAGTTTTATCTCCAATTAGTTAATGGTCCATTATTGTCAAAAGGACAGCCAGAAGTAAAATCCTACAGGATTTATGTTAAGTAAAACCCAAAATCTGCAGAAGAGGATGTAGCAGAGAGAGGGCACAGGGAGCACACAGAGGTGTTTGCTGTGACACTTGTGACTGTGCTGTGGCTTGGTGCCAGCTCTAGAGCAAGGCTGCACAGAGCAACTCTGAGCCTGCAGCCACCAGGACAGCTCAGAGAGCCTCTCCAGCAAGGTCCACACCTGCAGAAGGACACGTTGGGCCAGGAAGGACAATTCAGGCCAGCTCCTAATTCTAAACCCCTCCCTGCCTCACACCAAACACTGCTGGCTCTGGACAGCCTGGGACACAGAATGGGAACTTTAATGCTGCTGTGTGACTTTCCAGCCACACTGCAATTGCCTCCCTCCAGCAGTTCCCACTGAAGTCTGCCTCACCCTTTGGATGCAATCACACATCTTCGAGGAACCCATTGCATACACCATGCAAATCCCTGCCAGCACTCAGAGATTTTACTGCCATTGCTTTAAACCATCTCCTCTGCTGAGCTTCTAAGAGATCACAAGTTTTTATATTTCCCCCCACTCCCTCTTCCTGCACACCTAGGAGCACTCATCCCCAAGGAAATCTGTGCTTGTCCAGCAGAGCCCTGCCTGCTAGCACAGACACAAAATAGAGCTGTGCAAATCAGGACAGCATGAACCCATAAAGCTCACTTTTATCCTACATATTTACCCTACAAGGAAGACAATGTGAAACGCCCAAAACTGAAAGATCATTAAAATAAAAACAAGCAACAAAAAAAACCCAATCAAAATTCCTGCTACCAATGGGCTGCATCCATAAACAAAACAGGACTTATGTATTTTACAATGTGTTTTGTGCTTGTGCAGGACTTGAGGACGCAGCCTGCTCCACCCCAACCCAACAAGCCTCACCACAGGAAAGCAGGAGCATCACACTGGCTCCCACCAGTGGTGCTCTGGTGTTTCCCAGCAGCACATCCAGTCTGCCCACTGCTCTCCAAAGCTGTTTTCTTCCTGTTCTCCTGACTCTTCTCATTTGCTTTTAGAGGAAATTCCCTTGTACATCTCCAAGCAAAAACAATTAATGTAATATTTACAGCAAAGGAGGAAGGTAACTCTACCAACTACTTTATTTTCATGAGCAGGACACAGAAACTTCAGGGCAGTCTTCGTTGTCTTATCAACACTTGATGGATTCATATTTACTATACTTCATTTGGATTTTTTTTGGTGATATATTTCTAATATATTTTCAGAAATGTAACCCTGGTCTGCCAGCACAGACAGGAATTGCATTAACACAGGCTGTGATTTGTGTCCTAGCATTTATTTACTATTTCTGTAGTAATTAACAGATTACATTGTTTGTGATGGTTGATATTTTTGCTAAGCCTGAGTTCCTCTGTCACTAGATAAGAGCAAAGGGTGCTAAAATTCAGCAA